AGCACTATCAACAATTATTTATCTATTTACTTAATTGTCTATCTCCGCCCCCGCCCCCACACACACACGAAAATGGAAGCACAGTGAGAGTGTCTGTTTTATTCTCTATCCCATTCTGGTATAGCGTTCCCCACACAGGCGGTAGGTAATAAACTCTGAGCTAAGTAATGGATTCACTGTAAACCTGAACACTTGCTGGGCATCTTCGCACAGCGTGCCGGGAGCTGTGCCAGGGCCTGAGCAGGGCCACACTGCCAGTCTGTGGTGAAGGGGTGGCCAGGGAGTGGCGTAAGACAGAGACAGATTTTTTTCAGTTCCACATCAGACTTTGGGGGTTGGGCGAATCTTCTCTGGTCATTTGATTCCCCAGGCAGCTTCCTTATCTCTGGAGTTGCCACACTCTAGCCTGTACTTTTGTGGGGGCAGGGAGGTGAGTCCAGGGCAGGCAAGGCTGCACCAGTGGGTCTTAGCACTCGGCGGCTCCTCAAGGCCAGTCAGCGGAGAACAGACTGGAACCTATCGGAGCAGAGTGCTGAGAGAGTGTGGGTGCTTAGGCTGGAGCCAAAGGACAGACCCAGACCCTTCTGAGCCACCCCTCCTGTGGCATTCCTCTTGGGAGTAGCTCCCTGCCTTGCTGTTCCAAGACCAGTGAGGACATGCTCATTTGCATGCAATTTACAGCTTATCAGCATATGTAAACAAATGCCTTGAAAAAGCAAAGCAACCAACCCAGGATGTTACAACCGGAAGGAATAGCAGGTCTTGTTCTTGTTCGAAACATTCCTTTAGCCCTGGCTGGTGTGGCTCAGTGGACTGAGCCCTGAGCCTGCAAACCATAGGGTCACCAGTTCGATTCCCAGTGAGGGCACAAGCCTGGGTTGCAGGCCAGGTCCCCAGTGGGGGGCCACATGAGAGGCAACCACACATTGATGTTTCTCTCCCTCTCTTTCTCCCAGCTTTCCCCTCTCTAAATATAAATAAAATCTTGAAAAAAAAATGCCTTCCTTTAACAGGTGAGGAAGCGAAGACCCCAACGGAACAGGGGCTGCTCCTGTGGTCTCCACCCAGACCTCTCACCTCAGCTCTCCCGTGCCGTCCCCCCCCCCCCCCCCGGACTGGCCTGTGGAATTCATCCCTGGGTTTTTCCATCAGCCTACATAGGGAAAACATCTGCTTGGGCCCATCTCTGGGAAGCTGGAGCCTGGATGCCTACTAACCCCTGACTTTCGTCTTAGACCAAATTAGGTCTGGAGATAAGTGTTTGGGATCTATCGTCATAACTGACTGTTTATTTATCATGCAAATTACCCTGCCTGTGAACTCCACAGACCCTGACGGAGAACTCTGAAGTTGACCCTAGCCTGCCCTCCCCCATTCCCCACGGGTTTCCTGACACCTGGTTGGGGTGAAAGGAAGGGGGTGGGGGAGGGCCAGGAGCCCAGGAGCCAAGCCTTGTTAAAAAGAAGTTCTGAGAAGCTATTCAGACCCTTCCCAGGCATTTGCTCTTCAGACAAAACTCCTCAGCGCGGCCAGAAAAGACCATTGGTTGTGTGGTCTCCTAGGTAGTGTTTTGCATGAACGAAGCAGGAGTCCAGGGGTCCCCCCACCCCGGATCAGAGCTTCCTGTGCCCTGGGTGTTTTGCAAGGGCTACTCCATCATGCTAGAACCGACTTGTATCTCTCATTCTTATGACGAATCAGATGATAATGATGATGATCACAGTTACAGCTGCCATTTACCCTGGCCTTCTTAAGGGGCAGGCACTGGGCTGAAGGCTTCAGCACATTGTCACACATAGCCCATGGGGAGAGTCAGAGGGGCACCTGGCCGCAGGTCCTGCAGGCGGGAGCTGGCAGCACCGGAAGTCGGACTCAGGCCTTCGCACCCTCACATGCTGTGTGTGCGCTGTGTGCACACGAGAAACCGCCTGCAGCGCTATTGAGGTGCGCAGATGTTATCGGGGAAATGGAAAGGACCACTTCCATTCTTGTCGTCGGGAGGGACGTGCCCGCCAGTGCCACAAGAATGGAGCTGGCTCACTCGCCTGTCAACCCCTGGGTAGTCAGGAGTTACGTTCCCGGGTAGTGTTTTCAGCTAAAGGTTTGTTGCGTGGGCTCTGCAGTCAGAGTGGTGGGTGTGAATCCAGAAACTCGCCGGCAAGCCTTGGGATGTGAGCTAACCTTTCGGAATCTCAGCCTCCTGTGTGTGAGGTGGGAGTGGTCCTCGCCTCACAGGACTGGGGTGAGGACTGAAGGAGGCAGCCCACCTGCTTACAGGGAGGGGGCAGAGCGTGTGAACTGCTGTCATCACCGACTCCCTTTCGTCTGCCGTTTCCCAGGAGCACTTGCTCCTTTCATTATTATTTTTCCGTACTCTTATAAATCTGGGAGGTCCCTGTGCCTCCTCTTACGGTTTGGCTGGAACAGGTTAGAGAAGTGAAGTTTTGCCCAAGGGGTGACAGGATTAGCCCGTGGCGCTTCAGGGGCAGAGGAAGCTGTGGACAGGGAGTACAGATGGACTGTCTTAAAGTCACACAGCGTCTCAGGGAGATGGGGAGGTGGAGAGCTCAGCTTCAGAGGCCAGGAGGCTGATGCCCGGCTCTGCTGTTCCTAAGCTGTATGTGTGACCTGAACCCAGTCACTTGCCTCCCTGCGCTGCTGTTTCCTCGTCTGTGAAACGGGAATAACACCATCGTCTCCCAAGGCGGCCGTCAGGATTCATGAAACCACAGAGGTGCTCAGTCGTTATCCAGTTTTGCTCGTTCCCTTTCCCTTGACCCAGGAACCCGCATGCTCGGCCCTGGGACAACCACACAATCCAGAAAACTGCTCTAAACGCCACTGCGTCCTCACGTTTGGCTGGCAGCCCGCTCCCCACAGTCGTGTTGTTCACGCCCTGGCCTCCGTGTCTGACCCCCTCTCTTCAACCCAGTCTGCTCTCCCGTGCTCCCTGGTCCATCTCAAGTTCACTGCAATGTCTGGGAAGTCCTTGTGAAGGCTCACCCAGAGCCAGCCTGAAAACAAAACGATGGCCCTAGCATTCCTGCGAGGACGAGTCTTCGGGCCCGTGGGTTTGGGTGAGAGGCTGGGAAGGAGAGGAAGCTGGGGTCAGGCCTGATACTGGGATGCCACTGCACTGCCTGGGCGCCTGAGGCTTCGGGGGAGAGAAAGGGGCACAGTGGAGGCTTGGGTGGTCTGGGGTCACCGCTCAAGTCTGAGGGACTGGGTTGAAGCTGAGGCCTGGAGTGGGAGGACTTCAGCTTTAAGCCCAGGACAAGCACCTGTCAGAATGGCCCCCGTGGCCTGGCCCGGGGGTGGCCTTGCCTGGGGCCCCTCCGGGGGCTGGGGTGTCTGGGCCTGTGCCCGCTCTGCCTACCTTCACGTAGTTGTCCTCGCAGTAGTCGGCGACTCGCAGCAGGGCGCTGTGGTTGCCCCGCAGAGCCTCCCGGCCCGTGGGGATCTCGAACTCCTGCAGCTGCTGCAGCTCGGCCATGGCCCCCAGCCTCTGACGGGCTCCCCGGGGAGCCGCCGGTTTTGTGCTTCACCCTGCCCTTGATTGGCTGCTCTGCCTTCCCTCTCACCGCTTTTGGTTTCCTCTTCGTGACAGACCCAAACCTGCCTGCAAAGGTCAGGCATGCTCATTCCGGGACAAGAGGAAGTCGGTCCCCGCTCCCTGGGACTGCGCCTTTCTGTCCCCTGCCCAGAGGAAGGGGGAAGCCAGTGGCTCCTTTGGGGGCCCAGCCCCCCAATCCCTCCCAGCAGAGGAAGCCAAGGTCGGGGCGTCTGTGATTGCTCCCTGGGCCTGGAGAGGAAACTGTTGGGGGTGGGGGTGGTAGATTGTGGAGGAAGGGGGTTGGCTGGCTCTGGGGCAGGGGGTGGAGATGGATTTTCCACTCATGGAAGGGGAGGAAAGGACAGAGGGTGGGCGCTTCCTTGGGAAGCCCAGGGATGAGTCACCAAGAGACAGGAGAGCGCAGGGTGGAGAGGATATGGGGACCTGTCACGCTGGGGGCCTGCAGGGCGGCGGAGCAGCGGCAATGGGAAACAGACAATGCAGCAGCGACAGGAGTCGTCGGGCTGGACACCAGGAAGACACGGCCAGCGGCGCCCTGAAATGTGTCACCGAGCCTCTGCAGGGCTACCCACGACAAAGGCCTCGTGCGTAGGCTCTGCCCGATGGAGGCAGGACGAGTTGAAACGGGCCAAGTGTAGGGTGAGGGACCTGGATTAGACAGCAGAAAGGACTTGGCTTTGAGAAGTACCAGAGGAACCAGAGGAACTGGTCAGGGTTAGGAAGCGGCGGCGGACAGAGCACCGAGCGGCGGGCAGAGGTAGGTGCTCTACTTCTCGCATTAACCAGGAGTTAGCCTCAATGGCCTCCAGGGTCCTGTCCTTTCTCAGTTTCTTAGAGATCCTGGAGCGGGGGTCAGGGGGGTGGTTAGGATGGATCCCGGGCCCCCTCCCCACCCCTCCCAGCACCCAGCCTGTCATCCTAGAGGCAGGAGAAAAAGAGGATCACTCACTGACCCTATTGGTCCCTTAACGTCTGCTCCTCGAGGGGTCCCCTTGTCACTGGACAGGAGCTCAAAGTCTGTCATCTTGGATGGTCCTGGGAGGAATCACAAGAGAAAGATCAGGGCACGTGCCCTGTGACCACATGACCCACATGACCCACGTGACCCTGTGCATGGGACCCACGCCCAGGGCTCAGAGGGAAGCATGAAGCCAAGAGGCAGGGATAGGGGTGTTCAAGGTGGCCATGGCCCCAAGTGCTGATGGACATGGCATCCTGTGTGAGCACATTTTGACTGGATGAGTGAATGAAGAGCGAGCTGGGGGAACCATATAAAGTGAAATCGGGGGGGCTCCAATCCAGCACACAAAGGCTTCTGGGGTGAGGGAAGTTAGGAGCTGATCTAGGACTCGCCTCATCGGGAAGAAAGTGCAGTGTCAGAGGCCGGGGAGGGGAGGGCCTGGGAGGAACGGAAAGCAGGGGGAGGGGGCATGCCAGGCTGCAGGGTGAGGACTGGGGAAACAGGCTCTAACCAGAGGGGTCACTGGAGGAGTGGAGCTCACGCAGGGGGCAGGGTGTCTGCCTGGGCGGCAGTGAGAGCTCGGAGGCTCAGCCGACCGATGGGCTTAGAAACTTGAGCCCGTGATCAGCTTAGGCATCAGAGATTTGGGCTTCCAGACCATCTGCTTTATCCAAAGACTGTCGGCTGCCCGGGGGCTGGGAGGCTCAAACACCATCTTGTCCGGGCCGGGCAGAAGTGACTTAAAGAGCTCGCTCTTTCTTGGCAGGTGAGAGGGGTTGGGGTTGGTACTGGGCTGGGATCTAGTCTGAGAATTATGGAGGTTAGGCGCCGGACAGGCCTTCCAGATGATTGTGTAATGACGATGAGGACGATGATGATGATGATAGTAATAATAATAAATGTATTGTGTTCATTATGTGCCAGGTGGTGTATTAAAATATTTTAGATGCATTATCTTTTTAGCACTCCCACTATTCCTATAAGGTAGAGACTACTATTGTACCCATTTTACAGATGGGGAAACTAAGACTCAAGGAGCCTGAGTGGCTTCCCTAAGGCCTCACAGCTTGGAAGCGGCAGAGCTGGGATCGAAGTGGAAGTCGGACGGGCCCCAGAGCCCTTCTCGGAACCACTGGGGTTCCCTGTCCCAGGACAGGACCCGGGGCTCCCTCACAACTTCCACCTGTGTGACACGTGCACTGACAATTTGCTTCCCAATCTGCCTCCCTGAAAGAAGCCCTTGCGCTCTCCCTTCCCCATACTTGACTCCTGTTCCTCCAGGAACAGGTCCTTATTCGAGGGCAGAGACCGTGTCTCCCCCATCAGAAGGGGAGCCTTCTCATCTCCTGAGACTAGGCGCAGGGTGGAGGTGAGGTGGGGACGATGCAGTAAGCAATGACGGGCCTGAACGGAGGGGCCTGGCAGGGAAGAGGTAGGAGTAAGTTGAGGTGTAGAGAGTGCAGAGGAGGGAGCTGCGGGAGCCGGGGGGCAGGGGGGAATTTGCAATTTTGGCCGTGAAATCCTTTCCAGGACCCGTCTCTCCAGGGTGGGATGGCCCAGGAGCTCAGTGAGAAGGGGCTGTTAAGGATGGAGGTGGAGCAGCTGAAGAAGGAAGTGAGGAACCCGAGAGCTCCGGTGAGCCTCCTCTTCCCTCCCCTCCCCTGCCTCCTCCTCTCCATCCCTTTCTATTCCTCGTGGGGCTGGGACTTGAAGGAGGAGGCGATGGACGATGGGGTGGTGGGACCTCTCCAGGGCAGTGGAAGGGGCAGGAGGCGCCTCTGGAACGCGGTAGGTGGGATGTGGAAGGAGGCTGGGGTTTGACCCCATGCAGGTGCACAGGAGACAGCCTCTGAGCCTGCCCAGCCCTGTCTCTGCACTGGGCCTGGCCCAGCATCCCTTGCAAGCAGGTCAGGCTTGGTGGTTCTGGCCAAGGAACTGACAGCCCTCTCCCCACCTGCCTGTTCCTTTTGTCTTCCTCCTCTCTGGCCACCGTCCCCACCCTGTCCAGAAGTCTGTTGCCTTGGGACTGACCAAGTCATGGATCCTGAGCAATACACAAGGGGTTGAAAGCTTGCTTTGCTTTCTTGCAGATTTCCAAGACAGGAAAGGAAATCAAGGAGTATGTGGAGGCCCAAGCGGGAAACGACCCTCTTCTCAGAGGCATCCCTGAAGACAAGAACCCCTTCAAGGAGAAAGGCGCTTGTAGGATAAGCTGATGGTGCCTGGGCCCGTCACCCTGACTGGCCCGTCTCGGCCGAGCTCCTCGCCCAGAGCCAGCTGCCCCGGGACACCCAGCGAGTCAGTGAATCCCGCCCCCCCTTCTCTTGGTCCCGGAATGAGTAAAGCTATCTGGCTGCGTGTGTTGCGGATCCATCTCTCAACCCCATTTTCAAGTCTTTTCTGCCATTATTTCCTCTGCCTGCTGAATCTCTGCTGACCCCACTGGGAAACACTGACCCCATGCGTGGTGCGGTCTGCAGAGCCGATGATACCCTGAGACCCCAGGGCACAGGCCTGAGGAGACATTTACTCCGCCTTGGGACCTCTCCCATTCTCCCCTCCACGCCCTTCCTAGGGTCCAGCACTCTCCTCAGAGTGGTTCGGATGGAAGACGGGAGAGACGGGAGGTCCTTTTCCCATCTCATGTCCACTCTGGTGGCCCTCCTCCGAGTCGTTTAGATCGCCCTGGGTGGCCTGCTAACCAAGAGACTATGATTTCATGATTTGTTTCATATGATTGGGGGTCTGTCGGGCCCCGGGCCTCAGGGATAGTAGAGCGAGCGGGACTAACGTGGCACCTCTCTTCGAAGGATTTAGCAGAGAAGACAGGGAACAAAGAGTTTACAGTTAGGCCCTGGACGGGTGGCTCCTGGCTTGGAGTGTCGCCCGCCACCCCATGTACCAAACGGTTGACGGCTCAGTCCCCGGTGAGGGCTTGCGCTCAGTTTGCAGGTTTGATCCCCCACGGCGGGTGCAGACGGAAGGCAACCGATGGATGTTTCTCTTTCTCCCCTCCTCTCTCTCTGAAGAATCGATAAGCATATCCTCGGGTGACGATTAAAAAAGTAGCATTTACAGTTAAATCATTAAGTGTTGCCATGGGGAAAGGAAAGTCAAGGGTGGTGCAGACACACACAGCAGGCAGACAGACATCCAGAGAACCACACGAGGGGGCCCGAGCGGTGGCAGGCCAGTGGGGGAGGGGGAACAACGGGAAGTGGTTAAACGTGAGGTTGGAGAGGGAGGCTGGGTCAAGCGTTGAAGGACTGGGCCAGGAGATCGGGTAAGAACTTTCTCTCCACCCTTAGGGCAATGCAAAGCCTAGGAAGACAGTTAAGTAGTGGAGAGACAGGCTTTGCTGAGCAGAAGGGCGGCTGGATCCCCGGAAGGGCTGGGGGTCGGATGCAGGAGAGAGCGATGACTGTCTAAGAGAGCCACAGACACGCGCTCACGGGACAGCACGGTCAGAGCAACGGCGGAGGGGTCAGTGCGGGTTGTGATGGGGACCCGCAGGAGGGCCTCCCGGTCCAGCCGAATGGGTGTGTTGCACCCTGGGAGAGGACTGACAGGGAAGGCTTCTAGAAGGAGGTGATGTCCTGAGCGGAGTCCTAAACAGTTAGCTTGTGGATGGATGGCAAGTCGGGTTGAAGGTAGAGTAGAATCCGAGGCATAAATGTGTGTGTGTGTGTGTGTGTGTGCGCGCGCACGCCTGTGCGCGTGGTGGGGGAGGGGTGTTGAATCCAAACACCCATCAGATTGGAGTTGTTGGAATGTCAAGAGAAAGGCCTAGGTCCTAGGATTTGCTGTTGAAGAGGTGGGGGTGGGGGTGGGGGTGACCCAAGGAATCTTGTTTGCTTTACTAAACAACCTTGGCTGCTGGGAGTAATTCGGTAATGCTTGCCTTTAGAAGGTTTTGGCTTTCGATAAGATTGAAAAGGGGGCCCTGGCTGGTGTGGCTCAGTGGATTGAGTGCCAGCCTGTAAACCAAAGGGTCACCAGTTCGATTCCTAGTCAGGGCACATGCCTGGGTTGTGGGCCAGGTCTCCAGTAGGGGGCACGTAAGAGGCGACCAGGCATCGATGTTTCTCTCCTTCTCTTTCTCCCTCCCTTCCCTTCTCTTTAAAAATAAATAAACAAAATCTTTTTTAAAAGACTGAAAAGGGAAAGTAGAAGTCCAGGGACATGGAGATGAGTATCAGATCGGGGGGATGTGAAATAGGGCAGTGGCCATAAATCTCGAAAAGGAGATGGGGCAAAGAGTTCTTCGGAAAAGGAAGTTTTCAGGTCTGGAGGTCTTGTCAAGTGAAGGGTGGAAGGGAGGGAGTCATCATGGATGAAGTACAAGTTTCTGGCTTGGGAGATTACTAGATAGGATTGAAAGCAAATATCTGAAAACAAGTTTAACCTAATACAGTGATAACACGGAGCTGCCAACTCACGCAGGCCTCCCCTCCCAGAGTGCCACAGCCCAAGGGCATGCCCTGCTCCTGGTGAGGTCCTAGGCCGCCGGTCAGAATCCAGGGTCTCCCAAGGAGGGTCTGTTCCTTTCTTAATTCCCGCAACCTGAAATAGACTCAGCTGCTCACGTTGAGAGGGAAAGATGAGGAATGAGAAAGAGAAACATTTACTTATTTTTTTTTAAAGATTTTATTTATTTATTTTATAGAGAGGGGAAGGGAAGGAGAAAGAGAGGGAGAGAAATAGCAATGTGTGGTTGCCTCTCATGCGCCCCCACTGGGGGCCTGGCCTGCCACCCAGGCAGGTGCCCTGACTGGGAATGAAACGGGACACCCTTTGATTCGCGGGCTGGCACTCAGTCCACTGAGCCACACCAGCCAGGGCACATTGAGATATAACAATAGTTAATTTTCTAAATGGGGAAAGGTAAATATCCCATGTGGCTCCAGCAGTAGGAAAGGAAAGCCAGCTGGGGCTACAGCCATGGGGCTGTGGACCGGACGGCTATGGCTCCCTTCTTCCACCCCTAGTCCCCGTCTTCTGCCTTCAGGGACAGTCTCACTGGTTGAAGTGCAGGGTCCAGGGGGTGAATCCAACCTTTATTCCTGAGGAGTCTGAACTCTTGGTGGGGCTCTGGGTAGAATAGTACCTTTAGCCCTGGCTGGAGTGGCTCAGTGAATTGAGTGCCCGCCTGTGAACCAAAAGGTTGGTAGTTCAAATCCCAGTCAGGGCACATACCTGGGTTGCCAACCAGGTCCCCAGTTGGGGGCATACGAGAGGCAACCACACATTGGTGTTTCTGTCCCCCACCCCTCTCTCCGATTCCCCTCTGTCTAAAAATAAATAAATAAAATCTTAAAAAAACAAACAAACTCAGGTTCGACTCCCAGTCAGGGCACATGCCTGGGTTGCAGGCCACGGCCCCCAACAACCACACCTTGATGTTTCTCTCTCTCTCTTTCTCCCTCCCTTCCCTCTCTAAAAATAAATAAATAAAATCTTAAAAAAACCGCACAACAACCTTAGACTTATAAAAAAAAAAATCACACCTTTACTTAGGGTGTGGTGCCCCAGGCGGTCTCCTGGCCCCGCCCAAACACCTCCTGGCCACAGGAGGGCCCCAACGCTCAGAGCTCCTGTATGTTGTCCTGTTTGTGGTCCCGGTTCCAGGAGGAGCTTCAAAGGGCTGAGGGCAATCTCAGCTTCCACGTCAAAAGAGTTATTATTCTGTGCCCTGGGGACAGCATTCCTTCCCTGCCGGTTGGGACCTTCCCAGGAGTAAGCTGAGAAGAGGAGAAGAACCACTGTGAGAGCTGGTCCTTGTGTAATCCAAGCCAGCGGTCCCCACTTCTACCCCACCTTGGAGTTTTTCAGCCTGGGGAGAAAAGCACTGTCTGCTGTCACTGGGTCAGTTCAGAGCACACTCGGCAGCCTCGTGACAGCGCCTCATCCCTGCTAAGCGATGTCTCCTAGCCGGCACCACACTGGGGCTTCACCAGGCCAGCCCGCCACTCTGTAAAGCCACCAGCTTCCAGTGACGGACACACGGCGAGATCAGCAAATCCCATTGACAGGAGCCCCTTGCCTTACTTCTTTTTGAAAATCCAGTAGTTTCATTTTGAAATCATTTCAGATTTACAGAGCATGGCAAATCGAGCACAGAATTCCCACGCGCCTTTCCCCAGCTTCCTCTAGTGTTAGTATCTTACATAACCATGACACTTTTATTAAAACTAAGACATTAACGTTGGTACAATAGCATTAACTAAGCTCCGGACTTTGTTTGAGTTCCCCTAGCTTTCCCACTAGTGTCATGTTCCTGCTCCAGGATCCACATCACATTTAGCGTCGGTCTGACTTCTGCTGGGAAGAGCGCCCGGGAGAGAGGAGGGTCTAGCACCGCCCGGCCCTCTGGAAGACCCCGCACGGGTCCACAGTCGGCAGTGTCGGCAGGGACGTGACCGGCAAGGAACGGAAATCCCATTCCTGAATTAGTGCCTGTCCCAGGGACATTGACCTGCCACCAGGGAACTGGCTGGTGCTCTGGGTTGTCACCATCGCTGGCCCGTCGGTAGAGTTGCGCTGGCCTCGGTGAGGGAAGCTCATGCATAAGCTCTGATCCTGCTGAAACCGGAAAAGACACCGGCGTTCAGGCTGCTTGTCACTCCCAAACCCAATAAGCAGAGTCAGAGATCGAATCTTTTATTCAGATGGCCGGCGACCTGAGAAAAGGGCGGGTTCATACCTTAACAGACCATCTTGTCTTTTCTTTCCAGGCCAAGGTTTTTACAGCAGGGAATAAACAAGGTGTGGTGAGGGGGTTCGAAATTCCGGGAGAAGTTCATTGGATTAAAAAACCACCCAACTCCAGCATCCTCCCCCTGGGCGGTGGTCTTAGCTGTGTCCTGGGCGTGGTCATCTCACTCCGGAGTACAATGGCTCAGATATCATCGTGAATTGCTCGTGGTTCTCCTGAGGAACAAAGGTGGGCCTGCTTATGGTCTCCTGCAGTCAGGGTGGGTCATGCCTTCAGTTTCTGGAACAAAAGCTTTTATATGCATTGATTACTAAGCTTATTAGCTATTACCTAAACTAAAATTTTCCAACACCGAAGTCTACTATCACTGCCTCTCTGGCTGCTTTGTTTCATGAGCCCCATCTAGCCTGGTGGAGTTCAATTTTTTTTTCTTTTTAAGATTTTATTTATTTATTTTTAGAGAGAGAGGCAGGGAAGGAGAAAGAAAGAGAAACATCAATGTGGGGGAGATACATGGATGGGTTGCCTCTCGCACGCCTCCAACTTGGGACCCGGCCCGCAACCCAGGCATGTGCCCTGACTGGGAATCGAGCCAGTGACCTTTGGGTTCTCAGACTGGCACTCAGTCCACTGAGCCATGCCAGCCAGAGCCCCAGCACACTTCTAAAGAGCCTCTTGTACAGGGAGGCTTCTGGTAAACCTGTTCGTGTCACTTGAATACTTTCAGTCTCTGAGCTCACCCTAAGGGGACCAGCCACATAGCTCTCTCCCGATATCCGATACCCTCGTCTTCAGTTCTTCAATTGTTCTCTAGGACCTGACCGTCTGACCAGAACCTCATTCGCTCCCCAGGAATCAGAGAGGAAGGAGTTCCTGTCCCTGATGACTCCCGGTGGCCCCTGAGCAGGGTAGTTCCCAGAGAAAGTGGAATCCTGGGACCCAGGCACTCAGACGTGATTAGGGACTGAATCAGGAAAATGGCTTCAGGACAGAGAAAAGGTGATGATTGCAGAGATCATTGGGAAGGAAGATTTTCAGGGTTTAGAGATTGAATGTTGGAGGATAGCCAGGGAACTTCAAGTCCCTTTCTGGGATGACTCAGTGAATAGCTGTGCCACTCCACTGGGTGGCTCTAAATGACTCCCGCAGGCTTCTCCTCCTGTCCCTTGAGCCCTGCTGGGAACCGCTGAGAGGTGGCCGCTGATAGTACGAAAATAGGAGACACCGCTCAAGAAGGCTGCTTGGATCCAAGTGAGAAGAGGCTAAAAACAGAGCTTGGAGAACACCGGCAATGCGGGCTGGGGTGGAGGCAGGAGGGCCCTGGAAAGGGCGGAGAAGGGAGGGGCGGAGAGGCGAGGCCACCAGCAGAGCCTGGATGGTTGACATTATGATGAACCTGAGTAGTGAAATGATGTCAGGTTGGGAAGAGGGAGAAAGAAGGTGGAAGGCTCCTGATTCCCTGGTCCACCTACATCAATTGGGATAACTCAGGGTCAAGTTCTGTATCACCTTTCTTCTACACATTCAGGGAAGCCCCTCGAGATGGGATCCCCAGGCCTTAGAAGGAGGGGAGGGGAAGAGGGGGCAGAGCTGACTGGGAAGTTCAGGGCTCAGCTTCTGAAGCTGGTAGAAGCTGAAATCCTTCCTAGGGAACCAGACAGTCCAGCCCTCCCCTCTTCTCACCCCTAGTGCCTCCTGGATCCCACGCCTGCAGTCTGGAGGGATGAGGTCTTGTCTGCAGGGCTTGTCTGAGGTCTTGTGCACTGGGGACCTGACCCACAACCCAGGCACGCGCCCCGACTGGGAATCAGCCAGCCACCCTTTGGTTCGCAGGCCGGTGCTCAGTCCAGCGAGCCACACCAGCCAGGGCTCTCAGGTACAAGCCAATACATACGAATGTTCTCCTCCTTTTTACACAAACGGTAGCACTTCCGTGCCGTTCTGAGCTTTTGTCTGGATTTTT